ATATATATATATATATATATAGATATATATATATATATATATATATATATATATATATATATATATATATATATATATATATATATATATATATATATATATATATATATATATATATATAGATATATATATATATATATATATATAGATATATATAGATATAGATATAGATATATATATAGATAGATAGATGACGTGTGTGTGTACAGTAGTCCCTCGCTATTTCGCGGTTCGCTATATCATGGATTTTCATAGTATTGGACATTCCACAACTGGCAAATGCTTATATTTGTATATATATTTGAATGTCCAGAGGACCAGACTTAACTTTCTGAGAAATACACTGTATAATTAACATCAAAGTTCATGCTCAATAATCCAGGTAAACCTTTTTACCTGGATTATTGAGCATGAACGTTGATGTTTTGAACCACTTTGGCCATGGCTGCCTCAGATGAGTCAGTGGAGGAGAGGGTGGACTCCAGAAACCATCTTAGCACCATCAACTTGGTTGATCCACTGTGTGAGGGTGCTTTTAATACTGTTTGTTGTGGCTCCTCGGACTGATGAAGTCTTTTGGATGAAAGACGAAACGTTTCAAGAAAAAGAAACTGTCCAGAGAACCTGACTTAACTTTGTTGAATGTCTGAACTAACTTTTTCTTCCGTGTATGCTTAGACTACTAGAGGACAAATTGACCTCATTTACTTAAATGAATTGCTAAAATAAAAAATAAAAAAAGTTTTAATTTCTTACTATTTCTATCTTAACATGTGATTCTTGACCTGCCATTGTGTATCTGTTCTTACCAAACCCAGTCGGTCGAAGCAGATGGCCACTTACCCTGAGCCTGGTTCTGTTAAATGTTCTTCCTCGTGAGGGAGTTTTTCCTTCCCACAGTCGCCTTCATGCTTGCTGAAGATGAGAGTCTGCGATGGAGTTAAACTCAAAGCAGTCTGCTCCTCAGATAAATAATGTTAAATTATTATTTTTATATATGGATGTTTCTGTTCAGTGCCCTGAGATGGCTTCTGTTGTGACTTGGCGCTGTATAAATAAACTGAACTGAACTGTATAAAGTGTACACAAACATTTTGTGGTATTTATAATTTCACTCTTAAATAGCTCTAGTAGACTTCTTAAAACAGTCAAAATACTACGTGTATTTTCTCCACATTGGACTCCTGCTCCCCTGTGAGGTTCTCTGTATTCACAGCTCGTCTGTTTGCAGACCTGCTGTCTCGGCTCTGAAGAACTTCCATTTCCTTTGTAACCTTGAAGTGGTGCTCTCTCTCACACACACCCTTCCCTGCTGTGTGCTCCAGTGGGGTTGCACTCATAAATCTAAGCTTACACCTCTCTTGTGATTATGTATCTCCTGAGAAAATATGGCGGCGAGTCTTGCGAGCAGTGGGGGAAATAACAAATCACTGTCTTACTGTCTGAAGGTTATACCTCGGTTTCCTGACCACATGGAAATACGTTCACCATCACCCTGCTGGGTCCTTGACACACTTTTTGTAAAGATACTTGTACTTCAAGAAAATCAAGTGTGCATAGTAGTTTTAATACAGATACCCTCTGCTCCTGCGTTGCAGTTGGTCCAGACAAGCAGTGCGAGCTGACCTGCAGACCCGCTGGCTATCGATTCTACGTTCGTCTGGCTGAGCGCGTCAGAGACGGGACGCCCTGCTTCAACGCAAGCGCCAACGATGTGTGTGTAGAAGGACAGTGTCTGGTGAGTACATTCACGTGTTCATGCATGAAAGATTATTTTTAACACGTCTGAATTTGAGACTTCTCTGTCTAGCTGGGCCTGATATAAACTAAAACACTGGCTCTCTTTGTCTCACATCTGGAGGCTGATTTAAAGCCGTCGTTCAGATTCATTTGGTCGCCCCTCTGGGCCTCTTTTCTCTGCATCTTCGCTCTCATTTACACTCTCACTCTCTGATTTCACCCTCATCCCACCCCTGTGCTTCTGGCAGGACTCATGAGCACCAGTTACCAATTTGCACATGAAAGAAGGAAATAAACAGTGATATTAGAAGAGAGTTAGAAGAGAAACGCCAACCAGACTGGGGTTAGCTTTTCTCTGCTGTCCCTGCTCTTCCTGCCACATCTCCTTTTGTCTTGCCATTGACCTTTCCCCCTCCTCCTTTGAACCGTCACTCACATCCTCCCACCGTCTCCTCTCTCCAGACCGAGGGCTGTGACGGGGTTCTGGGCTCCGGTGCTGTAATTGACAAGTGTGGAGTGTGCGGTGGGCGGGACACCTCCTGTCAAAAGGTGACGGGAAGCTTCCAAAATGTCACGGTTCCCCTGGGTTACCACAAGATCCTGGACATTCCACTCGGAGCCACGTTTATTAACGTCACGGAGAGACGAGCAAGCCCTAACTACCTTGGTGAGATGTAACAGACACTCAAAACGCTGCACAAAGATTTAGAGCCTGAATAATGGCTGCTGCTACAGTAAAAGTGAAATGTTGGCGAGGGAAGTGAAGATCTGGTCCACAATGGCGTGTCTCTGGCTTCAACTGAAACTGCAGACTTTGTGGCATTGCAGAGTTAAAAGAGAGAGTTTGTGTTTTCAGAGCCCATGAGGAATCTGTGAAGGGTGTACATGCGTTTGCCTCGCCAACATCCTGCCTGTTAATAAAACCTCAGTTTGTCTGTCTGAGAGTGTGTTTGAGCACGCTGTAGGGGGTTTTCCTTAAAACTGGCCCGACTGACCAAGTTTTTAAATCTTAAAAGAAACCTGGACTTAAATCCTTGTTGCGTTCCCCCGCCTTCGTTTCTCCAGCAATGAGGAGCGGCACGGGGGTGTCTGTGGTGAACGGACGCTGGGCCGTGGACCCTCCTGGGGAGTACCAGGCAGGAGGAACTACTTTCACCTACGCCCGACCCAGAGCGCAGTCGGAAGTGGAGGAAGAGAGAGGCGAATCGCTGAGGGCACGAGGACCCACCACAACGCAGCTGCAGCTGTATGTAAGTACTGCAGCACAGGAAGGCATTTGTTTAAACGTGACTAATAAAAACAATGTAAACAGCTGCAAAAACATGGGTCGAAGAAAACGGGTCAGATTATCAACTGCTGACATTAGTGAGAACAAGATGACACAAACCTGCTCCCGCTACATCGTCAGTGAGCAGACTTAGGCCTCCTGAGGATTCAATGCCTCTACTAAATGATCTTCACACAGATCCCTGTGCCAAAGGTTTGAGCGATTCTTCATTTTTATACACCCGGACAGGGTTTAATTTGTAAACCAATCAATACCGAAACCCAAATAGTGGGCGGGCCAGCTGGGGTGGGGGTCCTCCTTCAGAAATTTTTGTATTAAGTATATGCAGTTTTTTGCATTTTGGTGTATTTAAACAGGTTGTTAAACATCTACGTTCACCTACATTTGTAAACACCCCGCTTCTGTCAAGCATTCTACCCCCCCACCCCTTGACTGTTCCGAGCCTGACACTGTCCCTGCTCGTTGTTGTCCAACTCCACATTTGAAACCTCCAGGTGCTTCCTCCGTCTGGGCTCCTGCCCGTGTACGAATGCGTGGTTAGCTCGGGACTCACCCCCACCACTCTTCCAGGGGCGAAGATTTTTCTAAGGGTACACGTGGAAATGCTTACTTGAAGAAGCAGCTCCTGAGTGGCTGTTATGTTTAAAATTAGGGTTTCTGTAATTATTTTCAGTTTACATATCCAATATAGGTTATATTTGTTCAAGGCAGTCATATTTGTTCATAACTTTGTTATTAGTAAACCTGAGAGTTACTGGACCAATCAAACGGTTACCGGAACACACCCTGTCAAAATAAGAGAGTTCCCGGATCCTGTGCCGGCAGGATCCAGCTCAAATTAAGCACTGCACCCGGCGAAAGGCTGACGTGTTATGGTATATCCTACGTCCATAAACTTTTTCTTGTCCTACCCGTAACGTCTTGATCCCCTCAAAATAATTTAACGAAACATACACATATGTATCAACAGTAGACAGAGTATGGCATACACTTTTCATCACCTCAGCTTTAAGGTCAAGGCCGCAAATCAAGGTCAAAGTTTATACAAGGTCTTTACTTGTCTGGGTCTTTGCTATAAATTGTTGTATAATGATTTGCTGATGGTCATATAATGTGTCGTATGCGGTACTCTTGATCATGTATGTTGTGCCTGCAAGTTAACAGATGTTCTTGTCTTCTTTTTTTCATGGAAAAAAATCAGCTACATATTTATTTTTGTTTGCGTTTTAATTTATTTATTTTGTTATTTTTGTGTCGTCGATGAACACGACGGTCCCTGACAAAGCCTAAAAATTCTTTGAAATTTGTTTTAGTTTGTCAGAATTGTTTCAAGCGCTCTAGTATTATTACTGCCCTCTAGTGTTCATTGGGGGGAAATTTACCCTATTGAAATCTATTATAAATGCATATTTTAATCCCCCATTCATACCATAAAATTATGCATTAATTTTAAGTTGTGTTTTTTTTTTATCTCTTGCAGTAAACATTTAATTTTTAAACAGTATTACCTCACATGGTGATGATGAAATCGCAGCGCTTACCTTGTCCAACATAACTGTTTTAGTTTGGATATATAGAGTGAAATACATTTAGTACAAAAAAAGCAGATTCTAGTGGATGTAGGCTGAAGAGTCGGCCACTCCGGGTCTAACTATGGCAACACTGGAGGATAGACTGGATTGCTCAGTTGTCAACCGGTTCAGTAAAAGTAAAATAAAGTATATTATAATTAAAGATATAATTTCAGTATTTTAGGTATAATTGGTAAACAGATTAGTTACTGAGGAGTAGATGGAACATTTACATGCAGTTTTATATGACTAGGTTTGTGTTTTTGTTACAGTCAAACCCTTTTAGGGAGATAAATTAATATTAAGACCAAAAGTGGACATGCGGTGCAACAGCTTGACATGTTCTACCTCTAATCAAAGTCACCCCAAGTCACATGTATATACTGAACATGTGATACTTCAGTGTCAGTGTTTGGAGCTCACGCTCCTCTGCTTTTTGTCAAGAGCTTTCAGACAGAGAGTTGAGTTTCAGCATTATGGAGGGATAAAGACTAAAGCTTAGCCTGAGCCACGCTGAACTGCCGATTGCTTAAGGGGATAGTTTGAATCTTTTGAAGTGAGGTTCTGTAGAAAGAGTATGAACAAATAATAACTTACTTGTTGTAGACTCCTCTTTGGATGAACTCAATTTGGAGACAAGGGACTTCATTTTGGCTGTATTGATGAGCTAACAGCCAGTCCAAGTACGGCAAAGACCTTAATGGATTGATGCCATCCAAAAGGAACTCCCGTCTTTAAAACAAAAACATAGTAATTCATGCAAATCCTTCTTTATAAATCTTTCCACGGATGTCGGTTTGGCATTACATGGTTATTCTGGCAGCAATATTAGAGACATCCCATCAAAAGTGCCACAAGTTGAACAGAACACGCTTCAGTGCCACGTTTTGCACTTACAAATAGACTCCGAGACTCAACCCTGTCATGAGGATCTGAAGATGGTGTAAAGGTTTATAAAACACAAACCGCTCTGTAGCTGTTTCACAACAGAACGTCTAACAAGCCTCTTCTGGGATCTTTGAAAATTGTTTGACGTTCTCTCCCATCTGTGCTGCTTCCTAGATAATATTCCACAAGGACAACCCGGGCATCGATTATGAGTTTTACATCCCGGTGGAGAAGAAAGAGGGTGAAAGGGAGAACCTGCTGGAGAGGGAGACGCCCAGAGAGGCACCGAGGGAGAGAGTCAGGGAGCGGGAGCCAGCGAGGGCACCCCTTCATGGTAAGACCCTTTGACCCGTCCTCTTCTGGTTGAACTGAGCTGTAAACGCAGCCGAAGATCACACGAGTCATTCTTTCCACTAAGGCGTCACCGCTGTAAGACATGATTGGCGTATTTTTGGATTAGGGCGGGTGTGGTTGAGGGCCAAGTGGGAGGGATTCCTGCACGAGCGTGTTGGTGTGTATTTGTTTCACCGTGGCCTAGATGGGAGGCTATCGGCTCAACATGTCTGCTGTCATGAGATCCTGACCTCACCATGATAGCATTAGCCTCTGACTCACTGCCTTCCTCTCATTTCCCATATTTCAGCTTGTTTTGTCTTTTCCCTCCATCTCTATCGAGCACATTTTTCCCTCCACCTTTCCTGACATTCCTAATTTATCTTTATGTCCATTTGTTTATTTTTGTTCCTCCCAGGTCCCCTTACTGTGTCAGTAGAGGAGCCTCCTCCTATTTCAGTCCCTTCTTTCCCCTCCTCCTCCTCCACGTCTGTGTTTTCTCCCCCATCTTTTCACCGCTGGCCACCTGAGAGAACCCGCCCTCGAGGAATGGGGCCCAACAGGAACGCTCGGATCCCCCCTCGGACTGACCTGCCACCAGACACTCAGCTCCCCTTTGTTTGGAGGAAAGGAGGCCTCACGGAGTGTTCTGCTTCTTGTGGAAGAGGTTTGATTGTAGACCCTCAACAATTGCATCTTATTTTTAACTTTTGTTTTTTTGAAGAACGTAACATCTCCCTCCTCAGGCTGCTTTTTGTAAGTGCATGGGAAAAATGAGTATTTTACTCCCAGCCTGTCTTTCTTTCTGTACAGGTTCTCAACACAGAGAGATTTTATGTGTAAACCGTCACACGGATGAAGAAGTACCAGAGGCGAAGTGTGACTCTGCAGCCAAACCTGCTGCTGAGGAGGAGCCATGCAACACTCAGCCCTGCCCGCCGTTGTGAGCTCTTTTTTATTTAACTCTCAGAACAATGATTTCTATTTTTATTTCTTCAGGTGTATTATGATTATTTTTAATTTAGTACGGCCTGAACACATCAAACTTTTACTTTTCTTCAAATATTTTTAGTAAAACAAACATACAATATCAATAGCCAATAAAATGTCACTTTATTTTTTTTTAATCTAATTTTAGGTGCTGCTTTCTGACCTGATTGGTTTTCTGTTTTTAATCCAAATACAAACAATCATGAGAAAAATAAGTATGTGCGACAAAGTTTCTGTTTTATGTAGGAGAAAACAAATGTTGCTTCAAAGAATGGGACATCAAAAATGTAACTAAACCAAAAATAACGAGAGAAATTGCAATTCTTGCGAAAATGTAGTACTTATTCCAGAAGAACTTGCTGAAAAACAGCTGACATTAGCTAAAAAAAAAAAAACATGCTGAAATGGAAGAACAAGTCTAAATTAGCAGAAGAAAGCAGAAAGAACATATATTTGCTGAATTGGGTTTAAAATAAACAGAAATGAGCACAAAAATGAGGAAATTAGAAAAAAAAAGGCTAAAATTGCAAAAATAGCTGAAAAGTAGCTGTAAAGGCAAAAAGAAGCTTTAACTACCAGAAGGAAGTGGAAGGAGCTGAAATGATATAAAACAAAATGTGGAATTAGCTGAAAAGGTTAAAATTAGCATCAAAAGAGCTAAATAGTAGCTGAAAGAGCAGAAAAGCTGAAGAAAACAGCTGAAAGGAGCGTAACAAGCTGTGATTAGCATAAAGATGTTAATTAGCCCGAAAGTAGCAGAAATTAACACAAAAATCTTGAATTTATCCGAAAACAGCTGAAATTAGCTAAAAATGCTAAAATGTAGCTGAAAAGGCAGAACAAGCTTAAAGAAAGCAGAAAGAACACGTTTTCCAAATTAGGCTGAAAGGAGCAGAAATGAGCACAAAAAAGTGGAAATTATCTGAAAAAAGCTGAAATAAGCAAAAACAGCTGAAAAGTATCTAAAAAGCAGAAATAAGCTGAAATTACAAGAAGGAAGTGGAGAGAGCACATTTTTGCTGAATTAGCCTGAAAAGTTTAAATGAGTGCAAAAAAAAAATAATCTAAAATTAGCATAAAAAACATCTAAATAGTAGCTGAAATAGCAGAAAAAGAAGAAACTTGCATAAATAAGCTGAAAGGAGCATAATAAGCTGAAATTAGCAGAAAAAAGTTGAAGCACAAAAATGTTATAGTTAGCAAAAATAATTTGAAAGGAGCACAAAACAGCTGAAAAAACTACAAAAAAGGTTGAATCATGTCATCTGGACTTCTTTTTTTTGTTAAAAAGAAACGTTTCGCCCCTCATCCAAGAGGCTTCGTCAGTCTGAGGCCTAGCCATCTGGTATTACCCAGAAGCCACCCTGACTCTTGTGTTTCAAGCCTGCCTCAGATACCCCTGAAGTCTATGGCAAGCCCTTTTAACATAAAATCGGATTCACCACGCTTACATTCCAGATATCTGAAACTGAGTTTTGACTAGACGTATTGGTTATTTAAGATATCTTGAATTGCATTTTGACTAGTCAAAATACTCATTTAAGATATCTCTAATTACATTCTGACTAGTCATAATGACGTCAGATTTACCATTGAGTTGTATGGAGGCTTCAATTCAAGATATCTTAAACTGAATTTTGACTAGTCAAAAATACAGTTCTAGATATCTCTAAGTTAATTTTGACTAGTCATTATTTGCTTTCAAGATATCTCACTTTTAGTTCTGACTAGTCATAATTACAATTAAAGATATCTTAAATTACGTCATTATTCAAGATATCTTAAATGTATTTGTAGATATCAAAAATGAAGTTTTGACTAGTGCAAATTAAATTGTAGATATCTTGAAAGCAAATAACGACTAGGCAAAACTAACTTACAGATATCTAGAACTGTACTTATGACTAGTCAAAATTCCTTTTAAGATATCTCAAAATGAATTCAAGATATCTTGAATATTTTATCATGTAGACGGCTTTTCTATTCAAGATATCTTGAATTCACATTTTGACTAGTCAGAATGACATTCAAGATATCTTGAATTGTTATTCTGACTAGTCAAAACGTCACAGATTTACGTAGCATTTTGGCGGAAAAATCATAAGGCATTGTAGCCTTTTTATTTTATAATCTGCAAAATCAGGTCAGTCCAACACAACGCTCGTATTTTTAACATGATTTTTAACGCGGCAGCTCGGATTATTTATTGTATCTGCAACAAGAAGACTTTTTTGCGACGTCTTTTTCGCGACAACCGGAAACCGACACTTCCTGCTTTGCGAGTTTTTGCACTGAGGAGAAATGTCTCTCTTTTCAACATCTTTGCTTAATTTGCCAACTTTTCTTTCACTGCTGAGGAGGAAATCGCAGCGGCGAATTCTCGAACTAATAAACTTAAAAGGATAAAAGTTTTTCCATGAAGAAAATCTCCACAGCTGTCAAGGTAAGAAAAGACGTAGCTTAGCGAGCTAACCGTTAGCTACAACATATGAAGCGCATAAACATCGTGATAAAGAAGCCTAATTTAGTGTGCTACATTATTTGGAGTGTTTGAGACAGACATGATATAACATTTTTTATTATATTTTTATGAGGTTCCATTAGTGCCAAACATATGTTTGTGTGTGTATGTAGCGTGCTGTGTATATGTAAGTTGATGTGTTAAGTGAATCCATCTATTATACAATCTATTACTTGTTTAAAGCTAAATATGTTATAACAAGTATTAATTTATTAATCTATATATATATGTGTGTGTGTGTGTGTGTGTGTGTGTGAGTGTGTGTGTGCTAAAAACAGTTTTGTCCATTTTAGATCTCACTGTGTGTTGAAAAAAGAAATGGTGGCTTATTTCTGCAGAAGTGCAGCTGGTAAAGGTTTTTGTAACCATGTAGTTGCACTTTTTTTTTACCAGACTGCCCACTACTCCCAACTCCAGCTGCCAACTGGTCCTCCTGTACTGGCCCGCACAAGAGATTTACAAAGATGGCACAGACAAAGAACACAGGTAAAAAAATAAAATAAGAGTGGAACACATTCTTTTCTGTTACATTATTTAGTATATGATGGTTATGATTCTCATAACAATAATTGTAATAACTTTCCCACCTGTATATTATTAGTGCCATGTGAAATTTGTCATAATCTCAATATTACTTGTGTCAAATATATTTTTCTCTCCTAACTTGTTTAGAATTGTTTGTTTTTGTAGGTAATGAATAATGCAGGTTCAACCTCTATGAATTAGTAATATTTGCAAGTTAAGTAAAAATCTTAACTCTCAAATCTGTCCCACTGTGTCCTACAAAATTGCTCATTTGCCTCTTTACTTTTATTTATTTTTTAGTTTGACATATTTTTATGCTTATTTCTTGAAAGGGAATCCATCCTGAACCTGCCAGCGAGGTGGTGGTGGTGTGAAAGCCCAAAACTGTGGTGAAAAGATGTTTGCACTCCACGCTTTACAGAGCTTTCACAGGTATAACCTGTGGGTTAATGTTTTTATGTCCATGTTTCCTTTGTCAAAACTTATTGTGATTCTGTCACTCGTGTGTTTGTAGGACCACTTCCAGATCCTGACATCCTGGCATCGGGAGAAAAACCACCAGCTGGAGTCCCAACCACTTATCACACTTATCCTAGAGATGGTCTCTCTGCTTTGGAGCTGGTACCATCCAGACTTGGGCCTGTGCCACAGGGCTCACTGAGGTCTCACCAGTGCCCACCTGAGAAGTCCTGCGTAGCATCATTCTGCAACACATGGCTCCAGACCTCCTTGCTCTTCCTTCGATGCTGCATAGTCTTCCCAACATGTGTTTTGTGGCCATACTTGATCAACTTATGCATCTTCAGTCTCTGCAAGTGTCACATGAAGTACAGGCCAGAACCAGGGAGCAGTCCAGATGTCCCGCGTGGGTACAGCTTTGACAACCAAAGCTTACTGCGAGCTGTTTCCGCTTTCCGTGTTGCTTACAGAGGAAGTGCAGAGGAGGAGTCTGCTGACAGCACTGGCAGCTCAGATGATCAGCTAACACTAAACAATAACTGTTGAACGGGTATGGTGTGATGAATGGATTGATGATTGATTGATTGATCAGATGAAGTCTAAACTGGACATGTTTTACTTCAACACCTTCATCCATGGTTTATATCAATGCAGCAAGAAACATAAAATTTATAAATCACCCTTTTGTTCCTTCATATTTTTAATCAGTCTCAAGCTGTGAATCACTGTAAATACTGTTTCCTGATGCTGCTCAATGATCCAGGTAGGAAAATCTAAAAAAAGGTAAGTCTGGTCCTCTGGACATTCAAAAAGCAAAACAACAAAACAAACACAAAAAGTAGAAACGTTTCGTCTCTCATCCGAGAGACTTCCTCAGTCTGAGGTGCTGTATTCAGCTCAGTCTCTTAAATAGCACCTTCTCAGAGTGGATCAACCAGTTTGCTGCTGACAACCATGTGTAAATGTGTGAACCATTTATTACTTCATTTTATGCTTAATAAATGTTTTAATGTTAAATGGTTATTGTTGCACCGGGGTCTGAGAGAAATGTAATTTCAATCCTGTGTATGTCCTGTACATATTGCAGTTTTTGACAATAAAAGTGACTTTGAGCAGCACCTCAGACTGAAGAAGCCTTTCGGATGAAAGACGAAACGTTTCTACCTTCTTTTTTTTTGTTTGTTTTGTTTTTTTGAATGTCCAGAGGACCAGACTTAATTTTTTAGATGTAAATACTGTAAATAGTTATTCATGAAAAATACATAAATGTGCCAATTTATTTAATTTGAAATTACATAATTTGATAAAATATCTAATCCACTATCAATTTATAGTGTACGGTTATAAAATGTTAACTTAAAAACAAAACACATTTAACTATTTACTAGATATTGTAAATTGCACTCGTTTTCCTTGTAATTCAACTGAATCAATCCACAATAAATAAAAAAACAGTACAGTATGCTGCTCAAGTGTTTTTTAATTGAAGAATGTTTAAAATAATTCAAAACAAACTATCTACCGGTAACTACGTAACACTAGAACAATTTACATACATGTGACAAGCTTGGGTATGGATGTTATTTTTATTTTATAAACTTACTGCAACACAACCTTAGGACTTTCACCCAAGGACATCATTTATACACAGAAAAGACACTTGGGTTTGTTTACCAGTAAACACTGTGGAACAGAACCTACACAAGACTCAACTGTCACCTTCAACCTGGAATATAAATATGAAATTAACAAAAATAAATATGAATAATACTTAAGAATTGTAAAACAAACAAACATGAGCCTCACATTCACATACAAAAATCCAAAAGCCAGCCAATCTTCTCTCAGGTAAGACACTGCCTAATTATGGTGACTCAAGCAGGCTGTGTGAGTGCAGTAAAGCATGGTAGGACAGATACGGTGGTTTTCTTGCCCCACAAGAACAACCAGGAACTGAACAAAAACAACAGCGCAGAGATTGAGCCATCTTCCTCACTGTCTAACGCTAACACTATAGCCACAGGAAGTTGTGGCATTTTCTAACAATGTTGTCCAGAACAGCTAGCGCCATTGCAGCCACCCAAAATTCGTCAGGCAGCTGTTTGAACAGCTAAGTAGCAGCCGCGGGTCCTACGCGTCATTTCTTAATTCAAGATATCTAAAAGTGTCATTCTGACTAGTCATAATTACATTCGAGATATCTTGAATTGTAATTACGGATGTTTGACCCGTCAAATGACAAATAAAGTGACGTCATTCAAGATATCTTGAATTACATTTTGACTAGTCAAAATGTAATTCAAGATATCTTGAATTGTTATTCTGACTAGTCAGAATGTAATTCAAGATATCTTAAATTAGCATTCTGACTAGTCAAAATGTAATTGTGCCTAGTCAAAACTCAATTTAAGATATCTAGAATGTAACTCCAGATAGTCAGACTACTCGATTTTATGTTAAAAGGGCTTGCCATAGAAGTCTGGCCTTTTCACTAATGGTTTCAAAAACACAAAGTTTGTTTTCTCAGTCATCCAGGTATATAACAACAAAAAAGGTTGAATCATGTCATCTGGACTTCGTTTTTTTTTTGTTAAAAAGAAACAATGGACATCTGGACAACGTTTCTTTTTAACAAAAAAAACGAAGTCCAGATGACATGATTCAAACTTTTTTGTTGTTATATACCTGGATGACTGAGAAAACAAACTTTGTGTAGCTGAAAAAACAGTTGAAAGTAGCTGAAAAAAGTTTAAATTTGCACAAGGAAGCTGAACCAGAACAAAATGTGAAAGGAGCAGTAAAAGGTTGTAAACAGATCCCAAGAGTTGAAGGATGTAAAATGAGCTCAATTCATTTTCTGTGAGAAAAGAAGTGGCAGAAAATACTGTACTTAATATTCAAAAAGCTGAAGTTGCACCAATACCAAAAGTCATAGCAAGATTATCCTGAAAGAGCCTAACGTTTTGATTTATGATTTGTTGAAATACCTTAAACTGTGGGATGAGAAAGACGTCGAAAAATGTACGGAAGAAAAATGGATCATATTAGTGTGAATGCTTCATAAACATTCACACTATTAAATATTTCCCCAAAATCAAACAATTTGTTAGCGATAATCTGTTAGCGCTCTGTGTATGCATTTAGGATGACTTTCAGCTACTACCACACCAATTTTGAGCTCAGAAATCTATAAAACAAACTGTTAGTCATTTTATGTTTGCTAAAGTTGATAAGCTGTGGCAGCCATCTTTAATCAGGTTGATAATTGTTCATTTCCTGGTGGCAGCTGATAACGTTGTGTTCTGAATGTTGGTTCTGTGCGATTAAAAAGATGGGGAAATAAGTTGGAGTTACTTTTGTGTCAGTAATCTGAGGACACAGAGCAAAAATACATATGTGGGACTGAGACACACGACGTTCCTCTGATTCTAAAACACTGTCAGTGTCTGAAACACGAGGATCTCAGTCGTTACCTGGATGATTTTAAAGTAATCTGTATCTTTTAAATGTGTTGAACTGTGCCAAAATCAGAGTTTCTTCTGGACTTTCAGTTGCGGTTTCCCCACATGAACAAACCCTAACATTTTAGGAGAACAGACGCTTAGTTTTGTCCCCTTGTGAAGACGTGTCCTTGTCCATGTGTTAGTTGGGAGGCCAGCTCCTGGTCGGAGTGCAGCGTTTCTTGCGGGACCGGCGTGCAACAGAGGCAGCTCCAGTGCAGGCAGAGCTTTGGGACGCGCTCCACCATGGTCCACCCTCAGCGCTGCGCCCACCTCACCCCGCCAGAGTCCACGCAGGCCTGCGAGCTCCGCCTCTGCTCCCATTGGGAGGTCGGCTCTAACTGGACCACGGTACGTCCACAAAACCAGCCCCGGACTCAGATCTGCAGCCGCACTGACGTCAGTCAGCGTTCTTTTCACATCGGCCTCTGTCATAAATTTAGGAAAGTCCTCATCTGTTTATTTACATTGTGTTTCATGTATTTAATATGTTTCTCCTCTCCATTCGCCTCAGTGCTCAGTTGACTGCGGAGTGGGCCGAAGGATGAGGAGCGTCCGCTGCGTCAGCGATCAAGGCGGCGTGGTGAGCGACAACGAGTGCAACTCTAGGCTTCGCCCACAAGGAAGCGAAGAGTGCAACATGGGCCCCTGCGTGACCAACTGGTACTTCACTGACTGGTCCAAATCTGTGAGTAACGCACACGCTCATAAGGGAACAAGCATGTGCCCAGCTGTGATGCTCAACTTGACCTCTCACTTTGCGGCCTCAGTGTTCGGCTCAGTGCGGCCCCGGGGTGCAGAAGAGGGAAGTGGTGTGTCTCACCAGAGGAGGGGTCAGAGACGGCGGAGGAGGGGGGGACTGTGTTGCTGAAAAACCGATGGAGATGAAAGCGTGCAACAGAGGTCTTTGTGTGCCTACGGTTTTGTGGTACAGCAGCTCCTGGTCGCAGGTACGACGGAGAGAGGAAAATATTTTCTTATATTAATGTTGTTTTAATCCTCTAAAACCCCACTTTCAAAAGTTGTAACAAATAAGTGCAAAAGAGAGTGGCTTGCAAATTGGTGAAATATTTTATTTAAAACAAAAATAAAGCAATGGAAAAAAAACTGATTTATTTTCACTAAAACTACAAATTTTCTTTTATCAAGTTTTTAAAATGTTGAAATAAGATTGATATTTGTTGCAATCTGTAACTTCACCACTAGATGTCCCTATATTACACTTACTGTTTCTTTACAATACAGTAGTCCCTCGCTTCTTCGTGGTTCGTTTATCGCGGTATCGCGGTTTTTCAAAATAAGATTGGACATGACACACAATTGGCTGATTGATGTATGAGCCACACGATCAGCATGGAATTTTTATTTAAAATAAATTGTTTAAAATTATTTAGCACCCGCTGCATCTTTGTACAGCCCACAGCTGCAGAAAAAGCTTCCTCCTGCCCCTCTGTGCAGCCCACACTGCAGACTAAGCTTCCTGCTGCAGCTGATCAGCTGTTCTCCATGCAGAGCGGAGAAGTGGGCGTGGCCAAGAGTGCTTGCAGGTGGTGGAGAGCAGCTGAAGCAGGACGCTTAAAATCATGACATTCTGTGCTCTTATAGAGTGTTTAGAGTTTTGCAATATTCTAAATAATATTGCAAGAGTGTGGGA